GTGCATATATCTATGTATGTACATGTCCAATATTGGCCCACCCAGCCCTGTGTATTGTCTACATATTTGTATCATATTCTAAGATTAATATACACAATTATTTCTCTCCCAATTATCATGGTATCATGGTTAAGGTCATGGTCCACGTAATTTTAAAAGAAAAAAAGTTCATATGTGACGCTCGAAGGTCTCGGTAGAACCCATAGATGCCCACATGATTGATATAGTCTAGTTGTATAATTGCACATCAGATAAGATAAATAAGATTTGTGAGTTTAAAATAGGATTTGAGGCCAATACCAAGTTGTTATAGGTTAAAAATTGGGCTCGATTTCTCCCCCTATAAATGGTATCAGATTCGGCTAGGCTGAATTTTTTCCCACCATCATCGTTGTCAGCTTGTGTTCGCTGCTAAATTTCATGGTCACTTTTTCTTACGTGTTCGTCTCTTATTTCTTAGTGTAGCAAATGGCAATACACGATTTTCATTATCCATCATTGAGGCAAAATATCATGCTATGGTCGACACAACACTTGAGATTTGCTTACTGCTATTGAGAGTGCTATTTAGATTGATTATAATTTGGTATCATTAGCTTACTAAACATATTGAGGTGCACTGACATAATGTCTGACAGTATTATAGTGCTCACAATTTCTCTCTTCCTTACATACCATCCAAAGATCAGCTCGGAGACATATTCACTAACGCACAAAAACTACTTCTCAGCTGCTTTATTTCTTGTCCAAACTTTCGATCTTTGATCCAACTTAAGTTTGGTTTTTTTTTGGGTGGGGGGGGAGGGATGGTTAAATTAGTGTATATATCTATGTGTACAGACCTAGTATTGGCCAACTTAGACCCACGTATTGTCTATATATTTATATCATGTTCTAAGACCAATATACACAATTATTCTCTCCCAACTATCACATATAGTGTTGGGTATGATGGGTATGACAATAATTTTAAATTGGAGGAATGTTGTGTTGGGGATTTTAAGGAGATTAATCTGCGGAATTAAATAATAAATGAATAACGGCACTAATGAAAAATATCACAAGCAAACAAACACCAAGATCTAACGTGGTTCAGCAAATCGTGCCTACGTCCAAGGGCCAATCCACAGAAAAATATTTCACTATGAATCAATAGTACAATCCCTCCAAGTTACACCTGAACTTAAGGATTAAATCACAAGAGAAAGATACAGTGTTACCTCTAGGGCACCAAAACCCCAAAACATATCTCACCAAAAATATCCAACTCCCATGGAGAAATCAGCACCGTACCCTCGACGGTGTCGTCATTCTGAAGACAATGGCTTTTGAATCACTACAATCGGACACCCGAGCTATCCGGAATCTGAAATTTTCTCTTTCTCTTCTTCTCTCTTTTCTCTCTCCTCTCGACCTGTAGCGATTACTGTTCACGGCCGATTATTGTTCCTCTCTTTTCTCTTAAATAGAATTCTCTAAACCTATTCCTATTTCAAATAGATCATCCAAATCCTTTTCTAAATAGAGTTCTAATCCATGTAGGCTTCTTATAGATATATTTCTAATTCATGTAGACCTCCTCATGTGGGCCTTATCTTGGGCTAGACCCACAACAATCTCCCCCTCCAGCCCAAGGAGGGGATATGCCAATCTTTAACTCCTCAATGGGAGTTTATGCCGGCCAATCGCCGACACGATCTTTTCTCTGGAAACGGTCTTCGTTAAAAAATCTGCTGGATTTTCATCTGTGTGAATTTTCTGTAACTTCAGCTCCTCTTTCTCAACAGCTTCTCTAAGCCAATGATATCTCACATCAATGTGTTTCGTCCTGGAATAGAATGTAGAATTCTTTCTCAAATCAAGAGAACTTTGACTATGAATGAAGATTTGATAATTGTCATGTTGTAAGCCTAACTCCTGCAGAAATATTCTTAATCAAATCATCTCTTTACCGGTTTTTACAGCTGCAATATATTCCGCCTCTGTTGTAGATAAAGCAACACACTTCTGTAACATGAACTTCCAAGATACTGCTTCCCCTACAAAACTTTTGAAAGTGGACATGGCTCTTATTTTGATGAAAGGATTTCTTCTTAAATATTTTATTTTGATTTTGGAGGAAGGGACGTTTCTTGTGTTGGGGAAAGGGTTTGGATTCAACATTGTTTACTTTGGATTCTTTGGGTTCAGATTTTGTCACATTTTTCTGCCTGAGTCTATGTTGCTCTTCAATTCTAATGGAATTCAACACTTGTTCTAGGGTAAGATCTCCTTGAGTATGGTTAAGGTTTTTGGCAAAATCTGACCATGACTCAGGAAGTTTGTCTATAAGACAGGCTATTTGAAACGTTTCATCTAGGATAGATCCATTCACTTTTAGTTGGTGAACTATATGTTCAAATTCATGAATTTGCTCATTCATTGGTTTAGAATCTACCATTTTAAATTTGTTAAAATCAGAAGCTTTAAATCTTTTAATTCCCATATCATCTAAACCATACTTTTTCTCTAGGGTTTCCCACAGAACTTTAGCATTAGTGATAGTATAATATATATCATATAACCTATCAGATAAAGCTCCTAAGATTCTGTGTAGACAATGATACTCTATTTCTTGAGGTGTTCTTGGGATAGGAATGGAATCTGTGGAGGAAGATGAGGAAGATTGCCTAGTAACTGGTCTAGATGAAGATGGGTTATCTGGTTCTATGGCTGTTATTAGATGTAGAGTTGTTAACCAAAATCTCATTTGGTTTTGCCAACGACGGAAATTGTTCCCATCAAACTTCTCTGGTTTAGCAGACATAATTTCACTTGTAGCCATAATCTGATGATGAATGAATAGTTTTGTTATTATAATGCAACAGAAATATATAAAGCATTCATTCAACAGAATTATCATGCAGTGTAACATTTCGTTTTTAACTATTACAGACATCATTAACATGAAAATCAGAATGCTAATCATGATACTATTCTAAACAGCACTAATTAGATTCTTGGATTGTTGGGAATATGGGCTGTTTAGACAATAATGAAAATCAGATTAAGCAATTTAATAATTAACAGATAATCACTATTATAACACAGATATAAGAAATATATCAAATAAAAAAGAAACAGAGTTCGGGCTTTGGTCCTTTTATAGGGTTAAACAGCCGTTACATAAACTCGTAGTTAATACGTTTTAATCACGTTAATAAAGCTTAGCCGTTATAAAATTAAAAAACGCTTCCGTTACATAATAAATTCACAAAATATTTTTCACGTTTTTAATCACACTAATAAATTTTTACCGTTACGAAATATTTCTGTTACAAAATATTTATCACATGTT